CCCTATAAGCTTCTACGAGATATACGTGAAATAACTAAACGTTAGATATTATAGCACAGACTTTGCTGCTTTAATTCCCCTTTGTTATTTTTAGTTGCTAACTTTAACATTATTATACTATGCTTATTATGCTGCTTTTTTCCTAAAGGCCTGGCCACTATTATTGCTATTTCTATTACGATTAATGAATGTATAATGATATTTAGTGAGTGTATGAGCATTGTTATGATACAGGCACACTGACAATTCTTGTGGTTATCTTAACAAGATTCATAAATTCATAAAAAATAAAAATAATAGCTGCCATTCTAAATACAATTTTAGTGGCACACTGACACTTCACAAGTTATAAACTGACTACTATTCTGATACACAATAATTAATAATAATAAAAAACCAAGAATTACATTAATTACCATAAGCATAAATTGCCATTATTGTTTTCTTAGTTCTGCTAATAGTTCCTCTGGTCTCTCACACTGCCATGACTGCATGCTCAATGATCCTTTAGCCAGTTCTATGTATCTTGATAAGAGCTTTATGCCAATACTACCCACTCTGGAAGCTGTCTAGCAGAAGACTTCAACCACTCAGACCTCACTACAATAATTATTAATAATAAATTATAAAATACAAGTACTGTATAGTGGGAAATTTTGAAGGGACTATAATTTGGCGAATTTCTAAATTTTGGTGATTGGTGGATTTCAATTTGGCAAATTTGTAGCCATGTGCCATTGAGCATGCGCATAATGGCTCAAAATGGCAGGGTTTTATTTTGGCAAATGGCTATCAAAATGCCTATTCGCCAAATTTAATTCCCTCAAAAATTACCCGCTATACGGTACATGATGATAACATGTACATACAGTAATGATGCTGGTAAATCTACATAATCATAATACCTCTTTGTGAGGGTCTTTGGAATGATAATCTTCTAGAGCCTACAAGAACATTTTACATCATACATGTACATGTACATGTGTCTATGTTTCGTACTTGATGATGAGAATATGAGATGAGGTGGGAGTTTAGATTGATCTGCTTTAGGAGATAGGCCCTGACGCTCCATAAACAAATCCTAAATAACAACAACAAAGTACATATACTGACACATGAAAACTTTAGTTAAGACTATATACCGTATACCGTAAATCCTCAAATAAAAGCCAGGTGCAAATAAACACCGGATTAGCAATAAAATGGAACTATAAATACGCAAACGTAGCCTACAAGTATAACAAATGCCTTGTAAATACATGTACTTCGATAAGCTTCCTGAAGTCACTTGTGTGAGGTCCCAAATTCGAATCCCGCTGTTTACTCAAGTTTTTTTATTTTTTACTTTCTTTTGAGGTCAAAATGTCATTTTAAGAAATAAACGCCCGGGTTTTTATTTGAGGATTTACGGTAATAAAGATTATGTACATGTATATGTACAATCATACACGTACATGTACATGCATGTATAAGAATATATACATGTATACATGTATGTGCATGCACATAACATTAATTACATATTATAAAAGTACATGATATAGTACACATGTATTAATGATAATACTGTCCCTATAAGGCTACATTTATTCCCAATAGCAAAAGGTAGTAAAAGAACAATAAATATTGAAACAAGTTATCAACAAGTCAACAACAAACACTCACAGTGACAGTATCAGTCTGAGAGTAGAGCTTCACTTGCTCACGTAGCTCATACATTCGAAACTTTAACTTCTCATAACTAGAGGAATAGGTACAATCACACATTATTAATGAATACAGTAATACCTTATACATGTACAGGTACATGTACATGGAAATTCTCAATGGGATAGTTTTTTAGAAATGATGAATTTGCAGGATTTCACGACTGAGGCCAAATTTTTGTGAATCGTTTTGAAGAGCTGCCATTTTGTAATAATTTGGAGAGTTACAGTTACTTTTCATGTGTTTTAATTTCACAAATGACCCCTCATTTGCGAAATTCATGGAAATTTATCCCCTCAAAAATTTCCATGTATAGGGTACGTTA